GACGGGCGGATCACAAGGTCAGGAGATCGAGACTATCCTGGCTAACACGGTGAAACCCCGTCTCTACTAAAAATACAAGAAAATTAGCCGGGCGAGGTGGCGGGCGCCTGTACTTAGTCGCCCAGCTACTGTGGGAGCGTAGGACAGGAAATGGCGGTAAACCCGGGGGCGGGAGCTTGCGTGAGCCGAGTTCCCGCCACTTGCACTGCCACGCTGGGCGGACAGAGAGGACTCCGTCTTCAAAAAAAAAAAATAGGAAATTGGAGGTCATATAGGGCTATTAAGGATGCTTCTACATATGTTGCCTGGGCATATGTTTTACATTAAAATCATTATTACTTCCTTAGTTGATTTTCCCATTCGGGCCTTGCTGTACTTGGACACTGAATTTAAATGTATAAGCTTGTTCCTGAAAGATTCCCAAATGCATCAGAATCACCTGGAGATTAAAATAAAAGTAGCTCTGACCCTCATCTGGACCTTCTAAATTAGTTTCCTGAGCTGGGTCCCAGTTCTGGAATCTGTACTCTACTCACCAGGGGCCCCACCTCATATTTGTGTGGTATTGCCGGATGCATTTTATGGACATTGAGTGGTTTTACAGCATGTGATATAAAACTCATTTTATACACAAAATGTGAAATAAAGACAATCCGGCAGGGTGTGGTGCCTCATGCTTGTAACCCCAGCACCTTCGGAGACTGAGGCAGGAGGATTGCTTGAGTCCAGGAGTTCAAGCTGAGCCTGGGCAACATAGTGAGATCCTTTCTTTACAATAAATAAAAAAATTAGTCGGGCATGGTGGTGTGTACCTGTAGTCCCGGCTACATGGGGAGGTTGAGATGGGAGGATTATGTGAGCCCAGGAGGTCGAGGCTGCCCTGAGCTATGATTTCGCCACTGCACTCCAGCCTGGGCTACAGAATGAGACCTTGTCTCAAAAAATAAATAAATAAAAAATAAAAAGACAATCTAATCAAAAACAACACTTCAAGAGTTGCAATTTGATAGGCCGGGCGCGGTGGCTCAAGCCTGTAATCCCAGCACTTTGGGAGGCCGAGATGGGCAGATCACGAGGTCAGGAGAATCGGACCAATCCTTGCTTACATGGTGGAACCCTGGTCTACTAAAAATCCAAAAACAAAAACTAGCCGGGGCGAGGTGGCGGCGCCTGTAGTCCAGCTACTCGGGAGGCTGGAGGCAGGAGAATGGCATTAAACCCAGGAGGCGGAGCTTGCAGTGAGCTGAGAGCGGCCACTGCACTCCAGCCTGGGCGAGAGCAAGATCCGTCTCAAAAAAAAAAACAAGTTGCAATTTGAAGCTTGCAAAGGAAATCGTAAAACCATTCACGCTATTCACGCTAATGCATATAAAAAATGCCTGACTTGGGCCAGGCCGGTGGCTCATACCTGTAATCCCAGCTTTGGAAGGGAGGTGGGCAGATCATGAGGTCAGGGGATTGAGCCATCCTGGCTACACGGTGAACCCACTCTACTAGAAATACAAAAAATTAGCTGGCTGGTGGTGGCACTTGTAGTCCCAGCTACTCAGGGGAGGCTGAGTAGGAGAATGGCGTTAATCAGGAGGCGGAGCTTGCAGTGAGCGAGACTCGTCTCAAAAAATAAAAAACAAATAAAATAATAAAAAATAAAATAAATATAAGCAACGGTGAGCCGGAGTGGCCGAGAGGAGACAACATTCCTTTTACTCCTAACCATACACAAGGGCAGGTCAGTTAGCACTGCCAAGCTGGGGCCAATGATTCTCAACTTTATTGTGCATCAAGCCATGAAGTGTTGTTAAACACACATTTCTGGGCCGGGCATGGTGGCTCCACCTGAAATCTCAGGCACTTTGGGAGGGCTGAGGACAGTGGATTCACCTGAGGACAGGGATCAAGACAGCCTGGCAACATGGTTGAAACCCTGTCTACTTAAGTACAAAATTACCCAGGTGTGGTGGTGCATGCTTACAATCCCAGCTACTCGGGAGGCTGAGGCAGGAGAATCCCTTGAACCCAAAAGGCCGAGGTTGTGGTGAGCTGAGATGGTGCCACTGCACCCCAGCCTGGGTGACAGAGTGGACTCCATCTCAGAAAACAACAACAACAACAAAAAACACACAACACAACACATTTCTGAGCTCCAACTCCAGAGTTTCTGATTTAGGAGATCTGTGGGTGGGACCTGAGAATTTTCATTTCTAACAAGTCCCCAGGAGATGCTAATGCTGCTGGTTTAGAGACCACACTTTGAGAACCATTGGCCTATGCTATTGGTTTTCAACCATGGCTGTAGGTCAGAATTACTTGGAAAGTTAAAAGCAAAACAACTCATGTCCAGATCATATTTCAGATCAATTTCAACAGAGTCTATGTGGGAGGCACAAGACAGCCATAATTTTAGATCCCAGGTGATTCCAATGTGCAGTCAAGGTCGAGAATCACAATTTAGGCTCTTGAGGCAGACATCCATTAATGCAGGTGTACTAGATAAAGGTCAGTAAAACCAAACATCTTCTACCCTTGGTTCTGAGGCAGGATATTTTTGTAGTCTGGGCATCTTTCCTTGGGATAAATGTAGCTTGCAATGATTTTGATTGAAATGATCTTTTCTTGGATCGCGGCTTGGAGAAAGTTTTGAGCAGAGTAAGGAAGGTTGTAATGGCAACCGTGGAAAATGGTAGACAAGCTGATTAGGGAAACAGAAAGTGATTTCTGGGCCTGTGGAAAGCAGAGACCATAAAATTACCTTAGGACTCTTCAACAAAATATATTTTTCCCACTAATGGGTAAGGAAAATAGGTTTTTTTTTTGACATGGAGTCTCACTCTGTGGCCCAGGCTGGAGTGCAGTGACATGATCTTGGCTCACAGCAACCTCTGCCTCCCGGGTTCAAGTGGTTCTCCTGCCTCAGCCTCCCGAGTAGCTGGGATTACAGGTGCCCACCACCATGCCCAGCTAATTTTTGTAGTTTTTCTATTTTTGGGAAGGAGTCTTACTCCGTCGCCCAGGCTGGAGTGCAGTGTCGAGATCTCAGCTCACTGCAACCTCCGCCTCCCAGGTTCAAGTGATTATTCTGCCTCAGCCTCCTGCTGGGACTACAGGCACAATGCCTGGCTAATTTTTGTATTTTTAGTAGAGACGGGGTTTCACCATATTGGCCAGGCTGGTCTCAAACTCCTGACCTTGCAATCCGCCCACCTCGGCCTCCCAAAGTGCTGGGATTACAGGCGTGACCCACCACGCCTAGCCCTAATTTTTGTACTTTTAATAGAGATGGGGTTTCACCATTTTGGCCAGGCTGGTTTCAAACTCCTGACATCAAGTGATCCGCCTGCCTCAGCCTCCCAAAGTACTGGGATTACAGGAGTGACTCACCACCCCCGGCTGGAAAATAGATAAGTTAACAAACTTCCCATGCAGTTGCAGACAGTAGGGCAAGGGAGTTAAGGATTTTAGTAGGAGAGTGGCTAAAGTGATGGGCCCTAGAGTCTAGGGCCTAACGGCAATGATGAATTCAAGAGAAAGTTTTCTTTCTGCTAGATTGTGTATGGGATATAAACACAATATTCCTTTCTGAAGGTGTTCACTCCTTTCCCTATTTCATAGTATTATGGTGAGGCAAACAGAGAAGCCCGCCCTCATCCTTGTGGGAAGGCAGGTGACCAGGTTTGGTTAATACATGGTCCTTTCCCTCTTGACTGGTCCAGGGTTGAGCACCAGACCCAAACAGGGTTAATCATAGTCCTTCTTTGTAACTGATATTTGGGAAGGATAGTGTACTCTGAGGCAACATTACATAGAATGAAAGGCTTCAATGTGATGATCTTGGAACTGACACCTAAAAATAAGGTGGCTGGCCAGGTGCGGCAGCTCAGGCCTGTAACCCCAGCACTTTGGGAGGCCAAGGTGGGTGGATCACCTAAGGTCAGAAGTTCGAGACCTGCCTGACCAACATGGTGAAACCCCCATCTGTACTAAAAATATAAAAATTAGCCGGGCGTGGTGGCTGGCACCTGTAATCCCAGCTACTCTGGAGGCTGAGGCTGAAGAATCGCTTGAACCCGGGAGGTGGAGGTTGCAGTGAGCGGAGATCATGCCATTGCACTCCAGCATGGGCGACAAGAGCGAAACTCCGTCTCAAAAAACAAACAAAAAAACAAGCTGGAGACCGGGCGCGGTGGCTCATGTCTGTAATCCCAGCACTTTGGGAGGCCGAGGCGGCAGGATCACCTAATGTCGGGAGTTAGAGAATAGCCTGAACAAAATGGAGAAACCCCGTCTCTACTAAAAACACAAAATTAGCCGGGCGTGGTGGCACATGCCTGTAATCCCAGCTACTCGGGGAGGCTGAAATAGGAGAATCGCTGGAATCTGGGAGGCGGAGGTTGCGATCAGCCGAGATGGAGCCATCGCACGCCAGCCTGGGCAACGAAAGCGAAACTCCATCTCAAAAAAACAAATAAAACAAACAAACAAACAAAAAACAAACTGGCTGTGCAAAACTACAGAGGAAGTAACAAGGAAAGGTTGAGGTGAGAATGGGCCAAGCTTTGCTCAGAGAACCCAGGAAGGCTAGCTGCAGAATGCTGTTTCCGCGGCCTCAGCTGCTTAACCTAGGCCTTTACTCTTAACCTAGGTAATTCCCACTCAATCTTGAGATTTCAGCCCAAACGTCACTCCTGGAAGCTCTCCCGGAACTCAAAGCAGGTCTCCCTTAGCTCCCGCCGAGGAGCGGCCTGTTCCCAGGATCTGCACCCTGTGTTTATCAGACCCACGGAGTCTGTGGAAGGGAAAGACGGGATAAGAACGATGCGGGGTGGGAGAGTTAAAAGGGTCGCGCAATCCGTCCCCGCGGGAATGCAAAGCAGATTCCGGAGTTCTTCAGCCCAGCGCAATGCTTGGGGAGCGACACCAGGGCGCAGAGCGGCAGATCGCGGAGCGGAAGTTCATCCCCGGAGCCGTTCTAGGAAACCGGAGGACTCAGTTCGTCACTGATCCCGGGGCTGAAGTGGGCGTCGACGGGTGCACTTTGCTGTTCCAGGGAGCCGGCTTGGCAGGCGGCGGCGACGTGGAGCTAGGGCTAGGGCGAGAACCGGCGAAAAGCAAAGCCGGAAAAGGCAAGGGGGCGTTCGTGCGCTGACCACCTGTTCCTCCAGCGGAGTGCGACGCGCGCCGATTGGCTGGAGTGCCGCCCGGGTACCGGAAGTGGCCGATGCCCGTCGCCAGTGACACCGGGACAACAGCTGCGGGCTGTGTGCGAGCGGCCCAGCAGCGCGGAGCCTGAGCGGAGTGAGCGAGCGCGGGGCGGTAGCGGCCTGCGGTGAGACCTCATTCAGTCGCGGCTGTGGGGGTAGGCGGGGGCAGGGCTCCCAACTCCCTGGAGAGCCGAGCGGAAACCCTACGTTTAGGCCCGTTCTGACCGGGGTTCGGTTTGTGACCTTGAAGTTTATGCCTCCCTCCATTGCCCCCGCCCCCAGGCCTTCATTTCCACCTGCACGCAGACAGGGTGGCGCCTGGACACCGCCAGGGACCGTCCCAGCTCTGGTTTGGTGCCTGTCAGCCGTGGGGGCGGGAGAAGCAGGACACTCCCTTACGTCCCGAGGTGGGGACCCGTGGGAGCTGTGGTTTTCTCACACATTCCACCCCCAAGTAAACCGCTAGGACGAAATGGCGGGTAGTGTCACAAACTTAAGGCCCCAGTGGCAGATTGTGCCCTGTGCTGCCATACAAGATACTGGATTATGAGGGGTGGTTGTGAAAAGGAGACAGGTTTGACCTGCAAAGATAGAGCCCTATTATGGGTACCAGAGGGAGAAGAGAGGAAAGGAGGATAACAGTGCCATAAATTAAATAGCACCCAGATTGGGAGAAGGAACTTATTTTTACAAACAGTTATTGACAGCAGCTATGTGTAAGACATTATCCTAGGCTCTTTAGATACAATGATGAATGAAATATCCAGTTAGCCATCAAGAGCATTGCAGAGGCTGGGTGCGGTGGCTCATGCCGGTAATCCCAGCATTTTGGGAGGCCTAGGCGGGAGGATCACTTGAGCCCAGGAGTTCAAGACCAGCCTGGGCAACATAGTGAGACACCATCTGTACAAAAAATAAAGAAATTAGTTGGGTAGTTGGGTGTGGTGGCGCATGCTTGTAGTCCCAGCTACTTGGGAGACTGACGTGGGAGGATTTTCTTGAGCGCGGGAAGTTGAAGCTGCAGTGAGTCTGGGCAATAGAGCCAAGACCCTGTCTCAGAAAAAAGGGAGTTTTGCAGATTCATTATATATATATAAAAGACAGTTACACAAATTTACTTAACATTTACCAGGTATCTGAAATATGCTAGGTACCCAGAATACCAGGATGAATGGAACGGCATCCTTGCTTATGGTCTAGAGAAGAAAATAGGTATGAAAATTAATAATGCAGTGGGGTAGCTGCTACAAGGTGAAGGAGTAGCTGTCTGCCTTAGAGCATGGGGGTCAGGGAAGAAAATGGAGGGGGTCAGCCGGGTGTGATAGCTCATACCTGTAATCCCAGCACTTTGGGAGACCAAGGTGGGCGGCTCACCTGAGGTCAGGAGTTTGAGACCAGCCTGGCCAACATGGTGAAACCCTGTCTGTACTAAAAATACAAAAATTAGCCAAGCGTGGTGGCGCACACCTGTAATCCCAGCTATGTAGGAGACTGAGGCAGGAGAATCACTTGAACCTGGGAGGCGGAGGTTGCAGTAAGCCAAGATCACATTACTGCACTCCAGTCTAGATGAAGAAGTGATACTCCGTCTCAAAAAAAAAAAATGGAGGGGGGTCTGTCCATGCCTCAGCCGAGGCTTGGAGATGGAGATGCTTGTGAAGTGCACAAAGTAGGCAGTAGATTTCCAGGAAGTGGGAATAACTTGTTCTCAAAGGCAAAGAAGCTTTAAAGAATAGAAAATGTTTAGGCCGGGCACGGTGGCTCACGCCTGTAATCCCAGCACTTTGGGAGGCCAAGGCGGGCAGATCACGAGGTCAGGAGATCGAGACCATCCTGGCTAATATGGTGAGACCCCATCTCTACTAAAAATGCAAGAAAATTTAGCCGGGCATGGTGGCCACAGCGCCTCGTAGTCACACACCACTGGACGTCCCCCCCCGCGCCACGCGCGACCATCCGCCCTCGCGACCCGACGGCGCCCACACGTTCGCCACGTGACGCGAGGCTCCGCCGCCAGCTGCCACCCCTCCCATCCCGCGCAACCAGCAGACGACACCTCCCATCCAAAAACAAAAAAAAACAAGAAAGCACAAACAAAACAGAAAACGCTCAAACCGCCAGGCACCACTACAGCCCACCGCACCGCCACCCTCCAGCAGCCTAACTGCGCAGGTGCTCGACAGCGACCACTCACGCAACCGCAACACTCTCGCGCTCTCGGCGCGCACATTGCCAACCATCGACCACGCACACTCCCTCTCGTCCATTCTCGCACGCGCCTCGGCGGCACATAACACGGCCCACACGCATACATACACGCACAGCGACAACAGCGAAAAGCCGCGCAACCACAACCCTCAGAGGACCAAGAGAGTACCTCTTCCCTGCAGATGTTACCGACCACGCACCTTCTGAGAAGCGCACTGTGATCCCTGTCGTCACTAAACTATCGGACATAATCCCGCTCACATTCTCGGCGCGCGCGAGCAGGTTCCTGACGAAAATCATTTGCATCCAGTCTACATGATGCTCTTTGTCCTGTAAGTCCACACACACCACCTTCACACCCGCTGCGCTGGTCAAAATATGCTCAACCGCTCACTCCACCTCACCCCGCTCTCACACTCCAACTTGCGACCGGGCAAGAGGTATACGGCTCCGCACCTGCTCGCCCATGCCCTCGTAATACCAGCTTGGAGGCTGCACGGCGGGCTGGACCTCACCTGAGGTAGGAGCCACTCCCGACCGCACTCGCCTGGCCAACTATCCCGCGTGAAAACCCCGTTCCTACCAAAACCTACAACAATTCAGCACGGCGCGCACGGATGCCCTGCACTCACTACACCGCCGCTCACGGGAGACATCGCCCTGAGCTCCCAAACGGCGAAGGTGCCAGTGAGCCCCGAGACTTGCCACCTCTCGCACTCCACTCGCACAGAGTACCGCGCGCACACAACACACACACACAAACAACACACCACACACCTTCCAGGATTGACCCCGTTTAATCCTGGCACATCCCTCTCTCTTTCCCTTCTTTTCTTTTTGTTTTTTTTTTATTGAGGTGGAGTCTCGCTTTGTTGCCCAGGCTGGAGTGCAGTGGCGTGATCTCGGCTCATTGCAAGCTCCGCCTTCCAGGTTCACGCCATTCTCCTGCCTCAGCCTCCCGAGTAGCTGGGACTGCAGGTGTCCGCCACCACGCCTGTCTAATTTTTGTATTTTTAGTGGAGACGGGGTTTCACCGTGTTAGCCAGGGTGGTCTTGATCTCCTGACCTCGTGATCCGCCTGTCTCGGCCTCCCAAAGTGCTGGGATTACAGGCGTGAGCCACCGCGCCTGGCCAGTATCTCGCTTGTTTTCCTTAGCTTTAGCTGCCCTCATCCACAGACTGGTAGTGAGATGGCAGCAGCAGGTATAGGCAATAATATATGGAAGTATTATCGTATGGTTCTCTCAGGATGGCAGGAAACTATTCTCAGAAGCTCCCAGCAAACTTCCTCAAAATATTGACCCAGATGAAGGTGGATGTCCATTTCTGAACCAGGAATTCCCGAATCCTTGTTGTTTCTGAACCAGTGCCTTGCAAGAATTAGGGCATTTATTTGACTGGGTTAACTCAGTTGGAGTGTGCTGCTGGAGTTCTTGGATGAGGTTAGATCTCTGGCAAGGAAAGCAAAGCCACTGCAAATATTTTTGCTCACATACCCTGTAAAATATTTTTGCTCACATACCCTGTAAAATAATTTTGGAAGGTTTGTATCTCTTTATGCACTTGCAAGTTGACATCCAAAACATTTCCATTTCTCATACATTTTAATGAGTTTCAAAGGATATTATTTTTGAGGTATTAAAAATTTTCAAAATAAAGCCTCATCCCAGCTTCCCAGATACCTTCCCTTGGTTACCTTCCCTTGGAGCACAAAGACGGTGCTCGTCACATCTTCACCGTCTCTGTAACCTCCGTCTGTTAGCACCCCACTTCTCCGAGCCCCACTTCATTTCCATGCGTGTCTCACTCAGTCATCTCAGCTCTGTCCTGACTAACCTCCCTAGGCCTCACCTCCTCAGTCTTCCACCACACACCTCCCTGGATTCTCAAACTGCCAAAACTGCCACTGAAAGAAGTCAGGAGAGCATGGTGATTGGCCCCTCTTCACTCTGATGCTCTCCAGTGTGCTTGTTTCATCAGGAGGTGGTGAGGGTTAATGTCTGTATGTTGCTTAGCACTTAGTGAGAGCTGATCATTACCCTCCACATCAAAATGTCAGTGCTGCCTTGCTCATCTTCCCCTCTTCCATATTTATCCCACCCTCGTGCATGCTACGTTGAAATCCAAATGCTTTTTCTGTTTCTGTTCTTTGTTTGTTTGTTTGTTTGAGACGGAGTCTCACTCTGTCGCTTGGGCTGGAGTGCGGTGGCACGTTCTCGGCTCACTGCAAGCTCTGCCTCCCCAGGGTTAATGCCATTCTCCTGCCTCAGCCTCCCGAGTAGCTGGGACTACAGGTGCCCGCCACCGTGCCCAGCTAACTTTTTGTGTTTTTAGTAGAGACAGGGTTTCACCATGTTAGCCAGGATGGTCTTGATCTCCTGACCTCGTGATCCACCTGCCTCAGCCTCCCAAAGTACTGGGATTACATATCAGTAAATACATATTTTTAAAAAATTTTTTAAATTATAGGTGCTGGGCACGCCTATAATCCTGGCACTTTGAGAGGCTAAGGTGGGCACATCACTTAAGCCCAGGAGTTTGAGACCAGACTGGCCAACATGGTGAAACCTGTCTCTAGAAAAATTACCAAAAAATTAGCTGGGCACGGTAATGAGGCTGGGAGGTCAAGGCTGCAGTGAGCTGTGATTGCACCACTGCACTCCAGCCTGGGTGACAGAATAAGAGACCCTATCTCAAAAAATAAAGTAAAATTCTTGGGGGAGCGAAGATTGGGACTTGTATTACAAAAGGTCCAAGAAATGCAACAAATTATCTCTGTATGGCAAGCTAGAGGATTTTCCACCACAGAGTGATGCACCATGGTGACCTTAAGGGGACAAAATTTTTAAAATATGTAATCACGTTGTCAGTCAGCTGACAGATTATGCTGTAATGTTTTACTACAGATCACCGTGTG